ATGTTTGGAGGCTCCTGTGCATTAGCGGTGGTTCATCTTTACAAGTCCAAGGTTGACACGATACCTAAATGAATTATTTCCTCTGCAGATGCACTCCTGCCTGTGCATGATTACAAATGGAGTAGTTTATTAGTATATTACCTTCCAGTGTCCTTCCTTTAGGCCCGGCTCATTTGACCTGTCACAAAGCCTGTAATGCGATTCAAAAGTAAGACAAGCTTCACTTGACAGTAATGGGATGTTGAAGGGAGGAAGCTAGCCGTGTTCTGTGCAACATTCTTCTTCATTGTGTAAAAGAGATTGATTGCTCAAGGCCTTGCTGCAATGCTGAGAATCTCCATCGCTGTGGTGATCTGCTTTTATAGGTTACATGTGTTTACTCTTTAACCCTTTAGGCCCTGGGCTGCTGCTGCTGCACTTGCTCGTCCCCTAATTAGAGGACGCGAGCCAGCTGATGGGTGGCTAGTTTTATTAGAAACAATCATCCATGAGCTCATGTTCATGGATGCTGCCATGTTGGATTTTTGGAAGCAGTTTGCACACTCAAGATGTGGGACTGGAAGTCCCGCCCACTCACACAGTCTCCATGGCGTGTAAGGCTCAGACAGCCAATAGCAGAAGACACGGTTGCTTAAAGTCTCTGACACAACAAGTCAGTGACTCGGTGCCGTCTGCTGGGTTTCCTCATGTGACCCTAACCCCAAGAAGCGTGTGATCAGCTGGCCTAATGAACTGAACTTAAGGTTCAACTGGACTGTTCACTTTCTGAAGTTCCTCTGGATTTGACTTGTCGCTCTATAAATAAACAGAATAGAATGTTTATTTTGGAGCATTAAAGGAGCAAACATACAATCCAAACCTACATTATCTTTTAAAAACTTGTCTGTGGTATGTTTCATGTCTTGTCAGGTGATGTCCAGTGAGTATGCACGGAGGTGGCAGGGCCTTAGCCATGTGAGCTAATGCAGGAGCAACCACAGGTTCTGTCTGGATGTTTAGAAACCTCTCAATGCCTGCATGCTAGTTTTTAAAGTATAGTAATCAATCCCGAGATCTGAGGGTTGGTGGGCACGTCCTAACGGGAGGAGGGCCCAGGGCAAACCCAGATCTCCTGAGAGGGATGTAGTCTCCCTCCGGTCTGTCGGAGACGTGCGATTCCCCAGGAAGATCCCGGAGCCTTGCCTGGGTGAGGCTGTAGAGGGAGGGAGTGTGCTCCACAGATGTGTTCCAGGGGGTGAGGGTGGATTAAAGCAGTAAAGAGTTTATCCAATAAACATATTAAAGGAATCCCAAAGAGGAAATCACTTTCATTTACCATAATTGCCGTTTCTTTTCCAACTTCCATGTTCGCTGCCATAAAAGTGTTTGCCGTATAAAACGTGTTTCTGAAGGATCTGCAGTAGACACACAGTCGGTTGCGTTTCATTTCCGTAGTGCGACGGTGATTAAACTTCACCACGGGGCTCCCCGAGACCTCACCGTGTGTTGTCATAGAGACTCAAACGCTGGTTGAACAGCGGGGCTGATTGTGCAGAGTTTAGGCGTGAGCCGGGAACACGCTTCAGGGAGGAGAGGTTTAGCACAGAGGATGATGAAGTCCGGCAGAGAGACCCTACAGTGACCTCCTGGTAAGACGTTGTGGCCTTCATGAGGAAAGACAGCCACCGGGGGGTTGGATCAGTGGAGCGGTCTGTCCAAAAGGACAGCTGTGGTTAATCTCAACACGGGTCTCATCCTTCAGGGCTGAATGTCATGTTTAAGCAGAGAAGTTCACAGTTCCACTAAACTCCACTACAGTTTTCTGATCAATTTAGATTTAATTTAGATTTTTCTAAATTCTCAAACACCAGCATTAAAGAAAACTGAGATTCTGTAAATGTTTAACTTTTTTTTTCTCTTTTCTCTTTTTTCATTTATTGACATTAAAATAAAAATACAGAAAAAAAATTGCTACTATCCAAAATTAAAAAGGGGACAGAAAGAAGAAAAACTCATGTTATCTGCCCATTTTAACTAAAATAACATTAATACAAATAAAACAATCATGATTCTTAAAAAAATAAAAAATAAAAGAACAATATAGTTCCTGGACTGGTTGGCCCACATTAAATCTGGTTATGGTGGACAATCCAAAAGGCTTCAGATCAAGGCAACTGGACTTCTTTGTAGATTTCACGAAGGCCAGAACCCGACAAAGAAGTCTGGAAAAGCATCCGAAGCAGCAAAGAAAAGGAAGAAGATTCTCCTCCAAACACGACATCCCAGTAAACGTAAACCCAACAACACCCTCAGACAGAACCTGGTCCATCCTGAACCCACACAGAAGCTCAGTGGTGTCGTTGATGCAGTCCAGAGAGGACTGTCCAGATGTTTACATCGGGGAAACTAAACAACAACAACACACGAGCATGGCACAACACAGGAGAGCCGCCTCTTCAGGTCAGGACTCTGCAGTCCACCTGCACCTGAAGCACAAGGACACATGCTGGACAGAGAAGATAGACGGTGTGAGAGAGGAGTAAAAGAAGCTATCTATGTCAAACGTGGAAACCCCACTTTAAATAGGGGCGGGGCTTAGATTTCACCTTTCCAGTACCTGTAATGCAGCTTTGGGTCTCATTCCTAAGCAGCTTCAGTCTAGCTCACACCTTCCTGTGTCTGATCAGCACAACCACTTCCTCTCAGTAGAGGGCAGCGACTCATCAGGGGATGGGGAGGAGGGGTACTCAGAGTAGTTTCTGCTCGTTAAACAACAACAGACAGCTGCAGCTATAAGCTTGACTCTCCTATATTCCAGTCAGAATGGACAAAGCTCCTCGGATGAGGAGAGAAGTCCAGCTGCCTTCTTTTGAACTGGTGGATCACCACGACCTGGAGGACTGAGAACCTCCTGAAGGATCTTTCCCTTCAACACATTCACTGAAAAAAGGCCAACTTCATGAGCCACGTGTTAACGTGAACATGCTCTACAAGCATCTCCAAATGCAGGAGGCTGAACTTGTTCTCTGATCATTTGATGCAAACCGTTTGAGTCGACCAGGAAGCTAAAACCTCGTAGAGACTTTCAACCTTTTGTGCTTTGGGGGACAGACTAGAAGCAAACTCCAACCCTGGACGTAGGCAGACTCCTCTGCAGTTTGACTCAATCGGTGTTAAAACTCTGTTTTAATAAGATTCAGCTCTTGGCACAATAACTGGGATCTATAAAAAGCAGCAGCATGAAGCTAATTTAGAAACGCCCTTCTTCATTTGTACACAGCTTGTGCTTCGGAGCGCTGGCTTTAACTCCTCGGAGCGCTGCGGAGTTTCCAGCTCCCAGAAGACCTTGTGGGTGATGATCAGTTATTACTGCTCCTCTCCCACTTATCCTCCCATCCTCATGGTGCAGTTCTTCATTTCTATGTGTGACAGTTGTCTTCTATTATTGTGCTCGTCTCGCGTGGCCAAAACCAGACTTTTGTACATGAAACTTTAGCGTCTCGCATGTCCAATCGTGTTTCTTCTCACTTTGACGCGGTCAGTAAGCTCCTGGGGTCGGCTCTTAGGAGGACACTGATGCAGGTAGAGCTGCTACTGTAGTGAACCCTTTGCTATTGTTCGTGTTTTTCCTTTGGGCCTCTTCGTGCAGCCGTCTCTAACGGGGTAACGGCGTCTGGGATACGGACGGCGGTCTGCGTCGGCACTGGCAGAGGAGCAGGCTGTGTTTTTGTTTATAAATGGCTCCAGCCAGAATTATTCCTCCTGTGGTTGTCCCATAATCATCAATCACTCCTGCACGTGGGCCAGCGCCTCCTGCTCACCAGAGAGGAGGTACACGGTGAGCCGTGCCCTCGCACCTCCAGCTGCTCAAGCAGAGCGCCGGACCAAGCCGGTGATGGAGTTTGTCATGACAGCGTGCATAACTCACCTCCTCCGCTTGGCGTTTCCTGAACATGTTTGATTCGGCCCTCTTTTACGTTGAATTTCTTTCACAGTTTTCATTGGTTCACTCGATCCCTTGTTTTACACATCTGTCCTGTACTGGAATGTTTCACCTTTTTTTTGTAATTTGAATTGCTTTTATTTTTGATTTATTCACTATATTTGTACTTCTACTGTACCGTGTTCAGCGCCTTGGGCTTCCTGACAGGGTCGCGGAAGGCGCTTTATAAATAAAGCTTTGATTGATTGATTGATTGATAACTCCTCCCCTCCCCTCTGCTCTCCTTCAGATCATTACATCCAACACACACACACACACACACACACACACACACACACACACACACACACACACACACACGGCTGATCGGAGTCAGCTGGAAGGTTAATCATGTGACGTGTTTAGAGGGTGTGGGAGAGGTCATGTGCTCCGGTTTGCTCTGGTTCATTCGTCTCTGTCTCCCTCTGTCTGGCTCCATCTCTCTCTGAGGAGGAGCTCTGCGAGAGGAGCTGGTGGCTCTGAGAAGACTGCAGGACAACGATCTAAATCAGGTTCACGCGCGCTTGAATCCTAACGACCTGCATGCCTACACACAACCAGGTGCACGCGTTAGACGTGCTGAGAAGGCCACAGAGCAACGGCGTCTTTGCAGACCTTTCAGACGTTGTGCTGGATGCACACACAGCTACACAAACATTTCAGCATCACCATGGCAAAGAGTACAGTCAGAATCCAGATGATTCTTGCAGAGTGGTTATGTAACCAGTGCAGCTCCGAGTCTTGTATCTTATCTAATCCTGTGACTGTCTTTCTTTTGTAACTGAGCTCCATCTCTGTCAGCAGCTCTCCACCTGAGCCTCCACTGAACACATGAAGGACGCCTGTAACTGCAGATGAGCCACTAATGGTCGACTGGAAGTGAAATCCACTTCTGTATTGGTCAGCATCAACAACAAACCCCTAAAGAGGTGATTTTTCATCTATTTGCAGTAAAATAGTGTTACAGAAATGCACCCCCCCCCCCCCCCCCCCAACCCACAGCAAAAAGCCGGATAACTTAAGCTGGTTTGAGCCTCACCTCCCGCAGTTCCTTGGCCACATCCTTGAGCTCCTTGAGAATGCCTTCCAGCTGGTCGATCACCATCTTCATGTGGCTGCGGATGCGTTCTCTCGGGCTGGGGGTCTCAGAGGTGTCCCGGGCTGGAGCTCTGCTGAGGGACATCCTTTACAAGGCGACGTGGGGCCGGTGGCCAGCAGGCTGAGGGCGTGGGGGAGCCGAGTCGGGGTCCATGTCTTTGGCTACGAGGAGCCTCAGTGCTACTGATCCGAACAGGGGCCCCGGCCACGCAGGGAGACCTCAACATCTTAAAAGCACCCGGACAGCCAAAGCACCTTGCCTCTCCCGCACACTCGGCACAGGGTCACACTCTGACATCCATGCTGTCTGGTTGCCACGTCCAAAAACAGAGAAAATGAACGTGAGAAAAGTCCAAGGTGTTAAATCCATGGAAAAGAGGGAAAACACAGGGACTGTTGGGAATCTCTTACATAATTGTGTCGAGCCAACGCTTGTCATGTGTCCGTGTGTTCCCAAACACCGCCGCTCCCTTCCTCCTCTGGTTCTGTGTTATCTGTCACCTGTGAAAGCGTGACCTCATTGGTGGCCGATACACAAGAAGGAAAGGGATTTACTCTCGTCTAGAGGAAGTTACATCAGCCGTTCGCTGGATGAGGGAAACAGAAAATAGAAACTCCCAGCAGCGGCTCAATTTTCTAAATGATCTCTTTCGGTGCTCCTGGTGGCCGGCGGGGACAAGACTTGCCTTCTAAATATAGTCCTTCAGAGCGGGCTACAGTCTGCAGAGACAGCAGGGACAGACGCCGCTTCAGACGGAATATTCCTCTGTGCCGGCGTGCGTTTCCTTCCCCTGGAAGCAGAAAGGTTCACGTTAAAAGGTCGCTTCAAAATCAACTTTGCCTCAGATCCATTTTCCTTGCGGTTAATGACCCAACAGCTCGTCTTCGTCTTTCCTCCCTCGGTGAAACGGACGCAGTTAGGAGCATCCGATATCCCCCCAAAACGTGGAGCTTCCAGGTGATGTGGGATTAGGCCGAAACCGTTTCCAAGCCGGCAGAACGTGACTTGTGGTGACAATTTGTGGAAGGATCACAAAACAATTATGGTGCCAGAGAAACGCAGCCACCGGAGGGGTGGAGAGCACACGAGCAGCGTCCCCTGAAATTTGGGTGGCAGCTTGTCTCACGCAGCATCCTTCCCTTAAGTCCTCTCGTGCAGAAAACACAATCATTAAAAAGCCAGAGTGGCCAACAGGCCGCCCACAGGGGTGTGCCCCAAAACCAGGGAGCAGAAAGGAAAAGGATGCTCTCGTCTCCTCCAGTTGTTGCTAAGGGAACCCAGTCTGCCAGCTTGTGCTGTGATTGGATAATTATTTTACTTCTTATCCTTGTAGTGTGTGTTCTCTCTGTGGACTCTCTTCAGAGAGGCAAAGCACTCCGTGACATCCAGCAGCAGCAGATAAATCCCATGAAAGCTTCCCAGCGGAGCCTCGGAGTACAAGCGGGAGGGACAGCTTCTTGCCAAATCCAGGGCGATGCCACTGCCAAGGGGTGTGCTGGCCAATCACACATGGCACCTGGTCAGACGGAGAGGAGAGCAATCACTAATTCTGACATGTCTCAGCCTCCTTTCCTCTCGCTTTCTAACGTGCTTCTGATGTTTAGCGGCGTAACGCCAGCGTGGAGGACACAGGGACGGACATGTCACTTCAGCTGCTGTCTAAAAACACGCTCTTGCTTCAGTGGTACTGGCATCACCTCAACACACACATATGCCCGCCTGTCGACACACACACACACACACCTACTCACCTTCTCTACGCTGTTGCTATGCCCAGAACTCACCGTCCAGGCACAGCACGATCACTGGACCTCCACTCAACCAGCCGGTTCTCCTCAGGTCCTTCTGTCGCACACAGTAACACTTCTCACCGTCTTGCTGTTCTCGGTTACTCTCCCTCTCTCTCTCTCTCTTCCTCTCTCTCTCTCTCTCTCTCTCTCTCTCTCTCACACACACACACACACACACTCGCTCTCTCACAGATCCCTCCCCCCTCCCAATACTTACTGTCTTGACAGAGAGAGAAGCTTCTATCAGCAGGGTTATTTCACTCTGAGGTTGTGGCTCATCAGAGGAGGAGTAGAAGTGGAGGATGAAGCTGTGGAGGAGGAGGACGAGGCAGGGGGCACGAGATGGGAGCGATGAATGGCCCTGATAGCACTCTGAAAAAGGGAGAGAGGAGGCTGAAGATGACTAAGAGCCTGAGCGGTGAGGAGAACTCCTGCTTCGGATGGTGATGCAGCTGCTGGCATTATTCTGAGCTGCCGAAAACACGCCACCTGTCATCCAGTCAGCACTCACCCGCGTCTGGAGGCAGCACTGAGCGGCTGAGGTGAAAAAGGAGCGGTTATTCTTTTGACAGCCTCTCCCTCTTTGTCTGTGGGCTTTGTGTTGTCTCCCTGTCCTCCCACCCCCTCCTTCTTTCTGTCACTCTCCCTCCGTCCCCGGCTCTCTGCCCCTGCGCCCTCTCCGAGTCCTCACTGACTGCTGGATGAAGAGAAACTGATGCCAGAGTTTATCGTGGAGCTCAGGCTCCTACCAGCACTGCTCAGCTCCTCTGCCCAGCTCTGCGGAGGAGGGGCTTGAGGCTTTAAAGGCGCAGCATATCGGGCTTGGCTCATCTCCTGTCCTCTTCTCTCTGATGCTGTCGACACTTCCTGTCTATTTCCTCTCGCTCTCCCCATCCAGCCTTTACCACCGGTCTGTTGAGGGTGTTATCGCTCTTAAATCATCATGAAGTCTTCCTCTGCTGCCCGCTGAGCGGTCTCCAGAGACCGGGCATCCACACACAAGCCTCTGGCTCTTACGTCATCATTATACGAAGCAGGTTGGTGTTTGATGACCTCATCTAAGTGGCAGGAGTAGGAGGGAGGAGTGGTGGGACTTTCTCTCTTTCTTGTCCTCTTCATTAAGAATTTCCTCACCGGTCAGAGGAACCCTGAGCGGATGCACCGGAGGTTAAATTATTTCTCCAAAGCAAAATGGAATAAACCAACAAAAATAGTTCTTGAGCATCGTTTCTCAGTTGCAAGAGACACGTGGCCGAAGATTGCTGTAAACAGCTGGAGGCTGGCTGCGGCGCTTTGCTCAGCGGTAACGAGAGATGAGGAGTGAATTCAGGTTAGGAGGGTCTTTGATGCAGATACGTTTGTTCTGGTCTCCTCTGTGCTTTCCACCACCAGCATCAGACATTATGCTGATGCTGTGGGGCTAACTTGGAGGAACATTTTGCACCATAATGAATTCTCTTTTGCAACGTTTCTTTGATTAATAAATGATCGAGTTTTGCTTTAAAAACATCTTTGAAATGCCACCATTTCTGTGTAGCTGCTCCAGAAGTACACAGAGACATTGTGTCATGTCAGGACTGCATCACGTTTTTATCATCTCGTCACATTTTGCAGCACACCATGGTTCCCTGTGGGGGTGAGGGGGCTACGCTCCCTTTGAACACGCGGGATGAGCAGCACTGCTCAGATAAGATGCTTCACAAACTTCTAACTCCATGAAACACTCATCCTTGAGCACAATTCCTTCATAACCGAGTCTCAGCGCATACGGCAGGCTCCATCATCAAAATATTGATGCAATTTGCATCATTTTATTTATTTATTTATTCTTCTATATTTATGTGGTAATAAATGTGTTATTTGTTTTTTTATCGTAATTATTTCCTTTAAAGAGAACCTACACGGGTGCCCCGTCTGTGGGACGGTCTCACAGCTCGTCACGACAACTTCAGGGCACTGACTGCTTCCCAGCCTGTAAATTACATGATTTTAATGCTGAGGTCATCAGGACTTGTGAGTTTTACTGGAAATCTTTAGTGAGTCCAGCAAAAATGGGTTCCACTTAAGATTTCTGGCATGATTTATTGTGCCATGTTGTTTATAGAGATGGTTTATAGAGGGTTTTTTCTTCCAGCTGACCAAAGGCTGATGCATGAACGCAATAATGCACACATGTGCATACAAACACACACATATCCATACAAATGCAGACATACATACAGAAACACACACAAATGCAGGTATATGCAAACAAACACACACGCATACAATTTCCCCTCAGCACTCAATGCATGACATTCAGACAAAAACTGCTACTTTCATCAGCTGACCAGCATCCTACAACACTTTTTTCATCTGCAAATCCAACAAAACTTTTCATGAACTCGTGTCTGAACTTCATACCGATTCTCATCAGCAGCATTCATGTTTGACTCAGCAGAACTGATGGATGCACAGCCCGGTATGGGAACTAAAATAATGTTTCAGTGTTTCTTAACCTCTGTGTAACCTACACAACACATCCAGGGTCTGTGCTTTTCATGACTACAAACATTAGCCTGATAAAAATAAAGATCCTGAATCACTGAATTCATCTGAATCCACTCTGCTGTTTCTCTCCTGGCCATTGTGTGGCGCTGTTGTGCACGTGATCTGCTTTCTCCTAACACTAGCAGGTGGACAGATGTTCTGGACGACACGGTCCTTCAGTTCATGGGTTCATGGATATAATATGTGTAAAAGTGCAGCAGCATTAAAACAGTCATTCTAAGGTCAATTCCAACATCCTTCTTGGTTTAGAATAAGATTTTGCTGTCAGTTCAAATGGAAATTATTCTTAGAGCAATAAAACAAACTCACCAAGAGGCTTATGGATCTTCATTTAATCTCAGAGTATCACAACTGTGTAAAGTGCACAAACCACACAACACATCTGGCAAAAGAAAACTGCACAATGAAACAAAAACACTTGTTTACGACCTGCCGCTGCTCTAAGACCGATGGATGGACAGAAAGTTCGGCCCGCTCCGGTTTCACAGCGACACCGGTTCTTTTTCTCGTCACTCTGCTGACCTTTTGATATTTCACTGTCCCCGTGTGACTTATGTTTGTTCGTGTGTTTCTAAGGAATCCTGTTTCACGCCTTAACACTTTGTGATGGATCAGTGCTCCTGCAGAATAAAAAACAGAAGCTTTGGTGATTGATGTTTCATTTCTTTTATTCATCTGAGTAACGCACACAACTAAAGTGTTGCTTTAGAAATGCAGATTTTTCCGGTGAAATTAGCACATTTTCTAGATCATTTAGTGAACTCCTCCCTGAGTTGTAATGTTTTGTTAGAGAGTACTTTTAATAAAATGTCATTAAGGTATTCATTGAAATGTAATATTTGTCGTCGTCTTCCTCTGCTTATCCAGGTCCGGGTCGCGGGGGCAGCATCCCAGCTAGGGAGCTCCACACCGTCCTCTCCTCAGCCACCTTCACCAGCTCCTCCGGCAGGACCCCAAGGCGTTCCCGGACCAGATTGGAGATGTAACCTCTCCAACGTGTCCTGGGTCGACCCGGGGGCCTTCTGCCAGCAGGACATGCCCGAAACACCTCCCCAGGGAGGCGTCCAGGAGGCATCCTGACCAGATGTCCAAACCACCTCAACTGACTCCTTTCAATCTGGAGGAGCAGCGGTTCTACTCCGAGTGCCTCCCGAATGTCCGAGCTCCTCACCATATCTCTAAGGCTGAGCCCGGCCACTCTACGGAGAAAACTCATTTCGGCCGCTTGTATCCGCGATCTCGTTCTTTCAGTCATTACCCAAAGCTCATGACCATAGGTGAGGACTGGGACGTAGATCGACCGGTAAATCGAGAGCCTGGCTTTCTGGCTCAGCTCCCTCTTCCCCACGACAGATCGGCTCAGCGTCCGCATCACTGCAGACGCCGAACCAATCCGCCTGTCGATCTCCCGATCCCTCCTACCCTCACTCGTGAACAAGACCCCGAGATACTTAAACTCCTCCACTTGAGGTAGGACCTCTCCCCCGACCCGGAGTTGGCAAGCCACCCTTTCCCGGTCGAGAACCATGGTCTCAGATTTGGAGGTGCTGATCCTCATCCCAGCCGCTTCACATTCGGTTAATTTTTTCATCTTGTTCTAGTTTCAGTTATCTTCAGGCCTCAGCTGATAAGACCTTATTAGCTCAGAGCACAGCAGCTGTTGTTTGGGTTTTTTGAGACTGGCTGTGCTCTCGCTCTCTGCTTCACATCTTCAACCCTTTTTTCTCTCCACCGCTCTGTGCTTCCTCGTAAGCATAACACATTTGTGACACGTCAGCGGTTATCAAAATCGCGTTTTCCATCAACCCTCTGATAATTTTCAGATCATTTCCACATTTCCTGGATTTACATTTCCATTAATGTACAATATTCACTCAAAAGGTATTTTGTGAGTTCTTATTCCCCCATTTAGATACCACATCGTCTTTTCTTCGGCATGAGGTCTGATTTAGGATTATGAATCCGCCCTCCAACTGTGTGTCGAAACACAGCCGGACTCACTTATCAGCCAACCTGTTTAAAAGTCAGACCACCAACTTGAGACGTGTGCAAATGAGCCCATAACTAGAGCACACTTCTATTTCTCCAGCTAAAACGGCTTAAAACCAGGCCAAACTCAGACAGCATTCAGAGAATCTGTCAAAACATAACTTTCGGCAGACAACACCAACATTTGACCTCTGGTCACCTAGGATTTTTTCTCGGTACCACAAAGACAAAACAAATAAACAACAAACTTCTCTCACCAAATCTCTCCACTTCAGGGCTTGAGTTTGTGGATCCGCATTCCTCCTAGCGACGTCAAGACCCTCACCAACCCCCCAGCAAAACTCAGCGCTGGAGGAGATTTAGGTTGTCGACAGTCCTCCGGCGTCGGCTCTTGGCGCTGCGAGGTGACAGGACCCCGGCTCTCGAAGGAACAAACTATGTTAGGGATTTTATCAATATGTATATCAATAAACCTGTTTCCTGCAGCTAGAGAGAGGGACAAGAAACAATAAGGCAGACATACAACCAAATCATGATTTGTGGCAAGTGTGCAGGGCAAATGCCCCGAACATCTGGTCAGAGTTTATTTATACAAACGGAATGGGAGTGGATCGTGAGAGAGAGCGTGAGCGTGTGTATGGGAGGTTACAAGTGCAG